CAGTCGTCGAGGTCGAGAAGCCCAGCCGAGACATACCGGAATAGTGGAACACCATGCTTTCTAGGAGAAGTAAAAGTGATTGTACAGCATGCGGTACTGCTGATAAAATTTGCCCACTGTATGGACTTAAAACTTAACCACCTTGTATGAAATATTTTGAAAGTAAACTGTAACAAATAGGACCACAAATAAAAAAAAATAAGTGGTCAGTTCTATATGCAGGTACTAAATTAGTGTATTTTAATACAGTAAAGCAAGACTATTGTCCAAGCACAACTAGCTCATTATTACTTTTATCTGACAGTAACCACAACAGTTAGAAACTATTTGTCTGAAGTCACGTGGTAACTTTTGTAGTATAAGCGGGTTCAGATTGTTAAGAAAGTTGGTGCCCAGCAACGTTTTCAACTACATTGCACGTTCATGTCCACTGTGATAACATCTTCAAATCGCAGGGGTAACGTATGGATTTCAAGCGTATGCCATATACTTGCACCCTGAGAGAACACAACAACGAAGAGTGCACGCATGCTTGACACAAATAATGAAATTTATGAAAAAGATGTAGCAGGTTTCATCTCTTGGCGCAGATCCCTGCAGGCACTTACCTAATTACCACCCCGTTTTGCCAACAAGCAGCCCATATAAGACGTTCGAACATGCGTTATTATGTCGGGTCATAACCAGTTTCCTCTAACCACCCTTCACTTAGTTCTGGCACGACATAGATTTCAAAGATTTATTTCTTGCAAACTGTGTGAGTAATTGTAGACCATTCTTCAACACCTACGTCGTACGGCCTTCAACAGTTATTTTCGTGCTTACTCAATAAGAAGACATGAGCTACAAATTTTCTAAGTTTCTAAAATATGAATGGCAATTGAATTGTGAATGGTAATCTACACCCAGCCTTAGCATATATTTCCCTTATAATCATTTTCAATTTGAGGCATGGCACAAATTTTGAAGTACGACTGAAGCCTCTCATATGCATGTTTCGTTTATTTGAAGGTGTCATTTAACAATCTTGAATTAATCCTGCAATGAACTAAAATTTGAATGCCTTGCGAATTGCCTGCCACAAAATGTATTTTACTAGGTAAATTGTTCTGGGCTTGTTACACAAGCTGAAGATGATGACGATGCTGACTGCCGCATCGTCACTGATGAGGCAGAGGATAGCGCGTGTACAATTTAGGTGCACACACGAGGCCCAATGTCAGTGCTACATTTCCAATTTAAACACGAGCGCGCGCAATATGTATGCTTTACCGCAATACACAGCGTGCACTTCACCGCAAGGCATGACTGCCTTGCGGCACTGTTTAATTTTAAGAAGACGCTTAAGGTGGCAATTTTGAGCGAATATTTATAGTGCTCCCAGCATATCTTCAACTTTATTTCTTTTTTTTTCTTTGTATACACCCACAAGAAAAGACATAGCTTAGAAAACCGATTATCGTATTCGGCGACAACATATTTAAGCCACTTGGAAAATAACGTCGTGTGAACGCCTGGTAATAGTCCATCGCTTCCAACTTGTGCATTTCGTATCTGTCTCACGCAGTTACGCAAGAAGAAGCTTCAGTGAAAGTTTTGGCGCAAGCATACACTTCACCGAAGCGACACATCGATCCTTACGCTACACACGCACTTACCAGACATACACGTACGGCATACATCCACAAATAGCATAACACACGGTGTTCATGATCGGGCAAGTCGTTACCACATTGCTTATAGACAGTATTACAGAACGAGACCACGTATTCATGCGCAGAGGCGGTTCTCACGAATGCATGAGGCTCCCGGCCAAGCAAAGACCACGGATAAATAACCACCGCACGGTAAAGATCCTCACAAGCTAGTGAGGAATCTTAGACCTTTCGTTCCCACCACCTAAACGTCCCCCAAAAAATGTCCAACACGGCGATTCTGTCGCCGTCTATTCATACGTTTTCAGCCAAGTCAAGCCGGTTTTAAGCGGCTATTGGGTGAACCGAACCGTTTTGCCTCGAAAAGGTTCGTGCCACCCGGTGGCAGCAAACGCGGCCCCGTGTTCGTTGAAACAACTTCCGAGCATCATAAACTTTGAAGGGTGTGTGGACGGAGTGTGTACTACCTTGCGAATGTAATCACAGAACACCTATACACTACCATTACCATACCTATACCATGTAATGAAGCAACTGGATGAGGACGCAGCACTCGGCGTCAACCACCAGAATAGCGTGAGCTATCCGAGTGCTGTCTTTTAAAGAATATCGATAAAAATAACAAGCTAGTTATAAAATGGGAAGAACAGGTATCCAAGCCCACAGAGATAAAACGGGGGCTTAGGCAAAGGTGTCATCTGTCACCCTTGTTATTCATGATTTAACTACAAGGATTAGAGGCCAAATTAGAAGGGAGTGGACTTGGCTTCAACCTCTCTCGTCAATCAAGGAAAACTCATTGAACAGGCACTTCAAGCATTGATTTATGGAGATGATATAGTGCTAATGGCCGACAACAAAGAAGACTTGCAAAGATTGATGGACATCTGCGCTAATGAGGGAGTTAAGTTAGATTTGAGGTTCAGTAAGGAAAAATCATTAGTCATGATTTTTAATGATAATGAAGGTATTGAGCTTACGATACAAGAGGTGACGCTAGAGATAACAGATAAATGCAAATACCTGGGTGTATGGATAAGCAATGGCACCGAGTACCTAAGCGAACACGAAATATACGTAACGACTAAAGGAAACGGGAATGCAGCGGCGATGAAAGATAGGGCACTGTGGAAATACAATAAGTACGATGTTGTGAGAGGAATTTGGAAAGAGGCCATGGTTCCTGGTCTGGCTTTCGGCAATACGGCCTTGTGCATGAGATCAGAGGTTCAAGCAAGATTAGAAATTAAGCAACATGGAATAGGTAGGCTTGCGTTAGGAGCTCGCGGGAATACACCTTGCGAATCAGGGAGTACAAGGTGTTATGGGATAGACATCATTCGAGGGCAGAGAAGCTAGCAGCAAGATAAAATTTGAGAAGCGATTGAGAGAAATGGGGGAGGAGCGTCGGTCTAGGAAGGTTTTCAGCTACTTGTACATGAAGAATGTCGACACAAAATAGAGGAAGCGAACCAGAAAATTGACGGGTAAATACTTGGAAAATGGCAGGACGCCAAACCAAAAAGAACTAACGGTTAAGAAGAAGGAAACAGAGACCGACATGTGGAGAATTGGCATGATTTAAAACGGGCCAAATACGAAAGGGTAGACACGGTAATGAGTGCATGCGGAGAGGAGGAGGGAACTGCCGAACACTTGATAATCTTCTGTAAAGGGCTTCACCCTATAGTTCAGGATAATGGCGCAGAGTTCTTCAAAGCACTGAGGTTTAAGGACAGCGAGAGCAAACTATAGACTTTAAGCGGGTAAAAACTAAAAGAAGGTTATCTGATTGGTGGCTAAAAACAAGGCACGAGTGAAAATTAAATTCTTCACTGCAAAGTACCGGTCCTCAACTTCACTATTTAAAAAAAAAAAATCTAGTTGTTGGTCCACTATAGAGAGGCTGGAACTTTTTAGCTCACTAAGTATTACGGATAGGTGGCGTTAGCCGCCGCCCGATCTAAAGGGTACAGACCACGACCTACTGTACTCCTGACCTGCCCAGCTGGCGGCGGTCTACGGAGCTGCCTGAGCCGGCTCGGATTCCGAACTTCGCCTCCTAAGGGGCGCTCGAGTTACCCCAGCTGAGCACTGGGGGATGCATAGAAACGCATGGGTTGTCGCCGGTTAGAGAAGAGTTTCTTCACGCATTGAGTAAATATGATGGCTATATTGAATCATTTTATTTCATGTGACTTTTAGAATCTTTTTTTTTTCATTTTAGTTGTCATTTCAATTCATTGTTTTTCAAATAGAATCGCAAATCAGGTACAAACCCATGTATCAGCGTGCAAAACAAGAAAGAATGACGACGGAGACAGGTTGTAAAAAGCGCTGGCCACCAAATGTTTATTTAACTCATGATACCAGCTATAGGTGTATACAATGGTAGTATTGTTGTCGTTGGAGTACACTCAGTTGGCTTCCATTTACTGTCTGGGCAGGAAAGGGCAAGGACTATGACATCTGACAGTGTCCGCGGCATCCGGTGCGCATAGAAAACAATTCAATACAGATAATTTTGCGCATAAATACCTTCGTCTCAAATGGCAAATTTAGATCGCAGGTACATGAATAACCAATGAAAGACACTGCGCAACTGTTCTGAAACGAAACAGCACTTAAAATCACTTATTCAACAGTAATTCTTCACACGGGTGTGTTTAAAAACCTAGTCGCATAAACACATGTGGTGACATGGTTTCCATATGTGCACTCTTGTCATTTTTTTTTTTGAACTAATATGCGTTTCAGTCTGTCAAGCACCATCAACCAGCCCAGCAACTCACTCTTTTAGAGACACGTAGTCTTTTACAATACAGAAACCGCCTTGATCGATTTTTCACGGACCTCGGTCACTGGAAACTCATGAAAAGTCATATCAGGAGTTTTCCCTTGCCTTGATTCGCAGAAAGGCACGCAGCACACCACCATCGTGATGGTTAATTTGCACCAAGAAACCTCGCTTCGCTGGTGTACAAAATGCACCGACCTGCACGCTTCTGTCGCAGCTCGGCACGATCAGACGGTAGCAAAAGATCGTCATTATACTTTTAGGTTTATTCAAAAAGAGGCTTTTATTCATTTTAATCGTCCAGAGTGTATGCACGCGTAAGCACTGCTGTTTTTCTCCCAGCGTCGCGCGAGCAGACGACAAAAAAAAAAAAAAAAAGGCGCGGCGACTTATGTTTTGGCCGCCAGCAACCAGTGCGGATGGGGTAAGTTGCAGCGTCACAGGGCGCATAGCGGCAGGCGCCAATACCAGAAAGGGCGTGCTGGCGCGTAGCTCGCTGGGCAGGGCAGTAAAATACAGTAGGTCGTGGTACATACATATCAATCCATCCATCCATTCTGTTTGCGCAGGGGGGCTGGCTTTGCCGTGCGACATGGAGGCCGTGCGATAATGGGGTGGTTGCGGTCTTGTTGACGCGTACGAGGTCGTCGCACCGACGACCATGGTGACCTAGGAAACAACGTCGGCCAAAAAGGCTCACAGCGTGAGAGAGAAGCGGCCGCCGTATGGCGAAGGCGGCTCATCAGCCGTTCGCCCCGGCGGTTGCCTGCGCGCCGGTCACTAAAGTGGAAATCAGCGTCTCTTGCAGGTAAGTGGGCGCGGTGCCGCGCCAACGCGCCGCACCAATGGGCGTGCCGATGGCTCTGTTTTCCTGCAGTACGGTTCCGCCGAGTGCGCGAGACAGAGATCTCGGGCATGTCCAACAAGTCGACGTGCCTCGATTCTTAGGCGGATGCTGCGCGGCTCGCGGTCGATGGCACGCCGCCATCTCCGTCATTGATCCGAGCTCCACAGATGATTGCTCCCTTGCTGAAGGCAGCGCGCAGGCGCGCCCGTCTCTCTGGTGATAAATAGCCACGGTGTTCGCTGTCTGTGGTTCGTCGAGGAAGCGTCTTGACGTGATGCCAGGCGCTGGTGAAAATCTGACGCGCTTTTCGGTTGGATGCGCCCGAACTATCACCAGCGGACGAGGTCAGCTTTGAATTCAGTGTAGAGATAAACAATTACGCCGAGGTGTAAAGTAATAATAGGTGTTAGAAAAACTAGCCACCCTGTTTACGAGGTGTCTCCTGACGGGAAGAGTACCAGAGTTTTAGAAGAACGCTAACATCATCTTAATACATAAGAAAGGAGATGACAAGGACTTGAAGAATTACAGGCCAATCAGCTTGCTCTCTGTAGTATACAAGCTATTTACAAAGGTAATTGCTAACGGAGTGAAGAAAACATTAGAATTCAATCAACCAAAGGAACAAGCAGGATTTCGAACAGGCTACTCAACAATCGACCACATTCATACTATTAAATCAGGTAATAGAGAAATGCTCGGAATATAACCAACCACTATACATAGCTTTCACAGATTACGAGAAGGTGTTTGATTCAGTAGAAATATCAGCCGTCATGCAGACATTGCAAAATCAGGGCTTCGATGAAGTATATATAAACATCCTGGAAGAAATCTACAGGGGATCAACTGCTACCATCATCATCATCAGCCTAACTACGTCCACTGCAGGACAAGGGCCTCTACCATGTTCCCCCAGTTAACCCGGTCCTGTGCTTGCTGATGCCAATTTATACCCGCAAACTTCTTAATCTCATCTGTCCACCTAACCTTCTGTCTCCCCCTAACCCGCTTGTCTTCTCTGGGAATCCAGTTAGTTACCCTTAATGACCAGCAGTTATCCTGTCTACGCGCTACATGCCCGGCCTATGTCCATTTCCTCTTCTTTATTTCAACTATGGTATCCTTAACCCCCGTTTGTTCCCTAATCCACTCTGCTCTCTTCTTGTCTCTTAAGGTTACACCTACCATTTTTCTTTCCATTGCTCGCTGCGTCGTCCTCAATTTAAGCTGAACCCTCTTTGTAAGTCTCCAGGTTTCTGCTCCGTAGCTAAGTACCGGCAAGATACAGCTGTTAAGTTCCTCTTGAGGGATAGTGGCAATCTACCTGTCGTGATTTGAGAGTGCTTGCCAAATGTGCTACACCCCATTCTTATTCTTCTTGTTACTTCAATCTCGTGGTTCGGCTCAGCGGTTATTACCTGCCCTAAGTAGACATAGTCTTTTACAACATTCTATGTAGCTGCCCTATAAAAATAAAGAAAATGTAATCTGTGAGTGCCATATACATAGCATGCGACGTTTCAGAAAATTTTGATCCAGCCAATCACACAGAAATACCGAAAATACATTAGAAATTTCTTAACGTCACGCGTGGAGATTTTGGTGCGAAATTTAAAAATGAACTTTCGAGCTCGATTTACTCGGCTGATAATGAAGTTGTGATAGTGAAACATACGGCATTACAGTTCTCATAGTGCCATTTGTAAATGTAAACAAAGTTAATGTTCCTCACTAGTGTCCCTTTAAAGCGTAGGCGTACCCACGTAGTGGGGTGGGGCAAATGGGTAGCCGCTTCACGTAGTCACCTAAGAGGGAGAGGGGGGCAGCAGCAAGCACAGGACCGGGTTAACTGGCGGAACATGGGAGATGCCTTTGTTTTGCAGTGGACGTAGTCAGGCTGATGATGATGATGATGATGATGAAAATAATATGGCCAGTGAAATTTGCTGCGGGAAGGTGTCATTAATCCAAAGGTTTTATCGCCAGATAGCACCGTGTCCTCCCTAACCTGAGAATGCACACGACACATACATGCACTCGATACAGCGGTGGTCATCCACATGACTGCTTCCCTGTTTGTAGATCATGGGACGCTTTATTCGATGTTCGCAGGCTCGGTTCCTGCCAGCGGCAAGTTACCTTTGCGTCCACTTTTTTCTTTGCAATCACATTAATATTACTAATAAAATCCCATACAATATCCTTGGCATAATTGTGTATTTGTTCTCATTAATAAATTTGCCAAAGTTTTCGCATGTTTACTGTTGTAATAGTTACAGCATCATTGCTGTGTTTGAACCCTACGGGTGAAATGTGCCCATTTTTGTTTTAGGTACCTATTGTGGCATTTAGAGAAAATACGTGTCTTCCTTACATTTTCCTTGTTGCCCATCATTCTGCCTTAATTATTTGTCAGCGGAGTGCCACCTGGTGGACTCCCACTCCTGTGAACATTTGTTATGCCATTCCTGTTGTAGAATCATTACTAAATTAGCTTGCTGCAACAACTTGGACCAGCATTTTAAATCAGCGTTTCAGCATTTGCACAGTTACAAATTATAAATCTTTGTTTAAGCACACAGGAAATAGTTAAGGGAGAAGTATTTACTATCATTATTTTTCAGGCAACTCAAAGACATGGACTTTTTCTCCAAGTCTGATCCTATGTGCGTTCTGTTCATGAGAGAATGTGATAGTGACAATTGGCGTGAGGTAAGTTAACCCAATCTTATTGGATGTCCTGTTTATCTTAGGATGGAGGAGCGCACACAGGACGATGACAAAGAATCGAAAACCGCAGGACAGACGCTGATTCTTTGTCCTCGTCTTACGTGGGCTGCATCAAGCAAAGATGAACGCATACTATCTAGCTCGAGTTTGCATTGCGTGTTTGTGTGTGCTTTATTCTATTGCTTTCTCTCTTCAGGTGGGACGCACAGAGACAGTAGAAAATTGCCTCAATCCTGATTTTGTGACCAAGTTTCTTGTGGACTACTACTTTGAGGAGCGACAGCAACTTCTATTCAAACTGTAAGACCTGCTCACAGAGAAGTGAATTTGCCTGCTCATGATCATTTCTGTTTGCAGGTATGACATTGATAGCCCCAGTGTGGACCTTCAGAATCATGTAAGTAGGGCATTGAGAACTTGCAGTGCACTATATGTGCTCACATGCATTGCAGGACTTTCTCGGTCAGGCTAGCTGTACTTTGGGAGAGCTCGTTGCCTACCAGGGCACGCAAGTCAAGTTCCAACTGTCGTAAGTGCCATTGTGCAGTGCTTTCTTTTCTTCCCGATGGCTGTTGTAATTCTGCAATGAAATGCACATATTGCAGTAGGAGACAAGAACAGTTTAAGGTAAACATATTTGACAGAAATCTGTCTGGCTGGGTAAAAGTTAAAAAATAAACACACTCTCTAGCCACATGTAGTCTTGAGTTTTTACTTTTAAATAACTGGCCCTACATTTCGATACTCGTTCTTGAGGGGGTGACTGTCTGGCCTAGAGTCTCTCACCACCATTATTCTTGTTGCTGCATTGTTTTCTCTATTAGTTCCGGAGTTTGTGTACATGCTCGGCAGGGTTACTGGTGTCATTTGGATACGTTTAGTGCGGCTACCTTCAGTTTTGATAGCATCGTCGAAGTTGGTGCAACGGTTATGCTTCTCAGTGTTTTGTGCTGCATTGAAGAACAGTTTGCTGTTCTGGCTGCCATTCTGGAGCTCGCCTTCACGAATTGCCACAGAATATGCAGTGTTGAGCTATGTGCTTGGAAGTGTTTTTTCTCCAAGTGCCTTATTCTGAATAGAGGCTTCAAGCAGCAATCTTTTGGTTTTAAAATTTATTTCATGCAATAAAAACTTGCGGTGTACTTGTTTGCCCCCCCAATGAGTGATATGTGGGGCTCAGTTTGAGCATGAAGAATTGTTGGAACCGTGAAGAACACTGACAACAGACTTCTTCACTCATGCTCAAACTGAGCTGTGCCAACTTGCCCAATCTGCAGTACTTGTTGCCACAGAGTGGTTTATTTTCTTGAGCTTAGCTTGTTTCTTCTTCCTCTCTTCACAGGGGACTCCCAGGCAACTGTGGCACCATTTTGTGTGGGTATTTTCTCTTAATTAGCCTTTTTATGGTTACCACGAATGTTCTCTATTCTTGCTCATTTTTTTTTTTTTTTTCAGTGACCGTTGAAGAGGTGCTTGACTGCAAGGTAAAATATCTGTGTGTGAGAAATCAGAAACACTGAAAGCTAAGGATCGTACAGGAAATTAATGCTAGAAGCATGCACTTTTGAGGAAAGTATAAGTAGAAAATAGCTAGCAATATAAGTGCACTACCCTATTCTGTTATTAAAGAAAAGAAGCAGCTCATTGACCAATGTCAAAACAAAGTGGCATTTCAAGATTCATATAGACGACGCAAATGTTGTTTCGCTCTTCTTTTGTGTTTGTATGCCTTACTTTGGCTGGCACACTGGCCCCAGTGGTCAGCTATTGACCCAAGAGACTCTGGTTCGATTCAGACTGTGGTGATCGCATTTTTAGTGAAAGTGAAAGGCTAAAGGCCTGTGTACTGTGTGATTTTATTGCACATTAGGGAGCCCCAGGTGATCAAAAGAACTATACGGCATCTCTCTTAGCCTGAGTCACTGTGAGACATAAAACCGCACATATCAGTGAGCCAAGCTTTCGTGACTTTGCGATGTTTCAGTAAGACATGCATCCCTGATTCACTAGCTCTGGTTCACAAAGATCATGTGTACGTGACCTGTCTTTTATAGATTTTGTGCAGGGTACATTTGTAACTTAACTGCAGTCAGTCCCAGTGTTAGAGACATTCTCCTTTTTGTGTGGCGTACTGTGTGAAATGGGGGTGCTCTCAGTGCACAATTGTTTTTTTTTTTTTCAGCGGGTCATTGACATGCAGTGGTATGCTCAGAAGCTGGACAAGAAAGACTGGTTTGGCAAGTCAGACCCTTTCCTCGAGTTCTACCGCATCAGTGAAGACAACACGTACACGGCGGTGTTCCGTACTGAAGTGGTCAAGAAGAGCTTGAACCCGACATGGCGGCCCTTTGCTATCCAGATGCGTCAGCTGAGCGGAGGTGACGAGGATCGCACCATCCGCGTCGTCTGCTATGACTGGGATTTTGATGGAGGGTAAGTGGCCGCCGCGCCTAGGTAGTCTGAGGTTGAGCCTTCCTCCACGCTGCGTTGCATACCAGCGTGTCTCGCAGCCACGATCTCATTGGAGAGTTCTACACCAACGTGCGCACGCTTGCCGAGGGACCTGGGCCAGCAAACGAGTACGAGGTGAGTGCTGTCATATTTGCCAACATTATAGTATTGGAAAAGGTGTTGGGGTTTCCCAAGAATGCGACATTGCTTGACACTGTCTAGAAAAAAAAAAAAAAGGGCTACCTATTGTGACCAAAATGCAAGCTGAAAGAGTATAGATGAAATAAAATTGACCAGTTGTTTGACTGTGCTTGTCACCACCTTCTTTATATAAAAGTGGATATTGAAGGACTTGTTTTTTCTGAGATGGAAGTGGCAGTTTATGATATGGCATGCTACGCCAACAGGCAGAAAAGAGTGTTTCACCCTTGCTGTCATGGCTACTAGGGATGCTGACTGACATTCCTGCGTGTAAATGCACACAATACACCCCACAAAGTAAAGAGGGGTATGCTGTAGCTCAGAGCATCGGACACATTATTTGATGGTTCGGTCCCTTCCTCTTTTCTTTCTTCACGTTTGTATTATAATTGCCACAAATAACTTCCCTTATACTTTCCTAAACATGATTGTCTGTTAGTATAGTAGACGCTTGTGACATCTATGTTCGTAGGACTAGGATAACCCTATGATTTCACTGCCAGCATCATCACAGTCGTGCCCGCTGAGAGCTCATTGTGTGCATAAGGAGCGCGCACTATCCGCTTGCATTCCATAAAAGGGAAGGAGTCGTGCATACTTGCTTGTAGATAGCTCACTTAGTGTCTCTCATTGCAGCTCATCAACAAAAAGAAACAGGCTAAGAAAAAGAAGTACAAAAACTCGGGTGTGGTAAGTATCCTATATAGCAAGTACTAGCGCTCTCTTGACTGTGTTGACACTGCTTGTCTGCAGGTGAAGTTGATGTCTTTTGGAATCCGCGAAGAGGCCACATTTCTTGACTACATTCGTGGCGGGTGAGAGACTTCTATCTAGCAAGTGTCCTTTGCCTAGAACAATTCGTAATAAAAAGGAATACCTTGTGATCAGGCGGTTTTATCAGAAGCTTTGAATTTGTGCTTTGTGGCGTTAACACAAGCCACGGTCTAGGTTTGTGCGAATATTCGAGTGTTCAAATAGATATTACAGTATTTGAATTCACTTGAAAATGAATTAAATTTATACTTAACTTTCAAGTAATCAAAATGAACATATAAAACCCATCTCAAACGGAACAATTGGGCGAGTTGGTGTGCTTCCATCTTGAACAAGGACAAACTGTGGCGCTCAAGTTATTTGTTCAAGTTGCGACTCTTGTAAAGGTGGTGTCACTGCATGTAATGAGAGTTATACAGTGAATACATCTTTCCAAGGGAGCCGCTACAAAGCCCCAGTTCAAGGTTAAACGAACATATACTATCCTGACATAAATTGATCAGTTTTTAAGTTTAAAAGCTTGTTATAGCGGCTTATATGCTATGTGTATAGCAGAATTTAAAATGAAACATTTCACAGGTTGTCACTGGCATTTTACCTTAACTCCTATCCTGCTTATTATTCAGCATTTCTCCCACTTCACTTTGAATGAAATGTAATGAAATTTTCACATGCCTTGTTTCAATTTTTAAAAAGTATTGTGCACGTTGGTTGGTTCATGACAAATATGCTAATTTCTTTTTATAATATATGATTCTCACTTTTGAAATTCGATTAGGAATTATTTATCGAATCACTATCCACTAGACTGCACAAATATTGGAGAATAACGAATCATATAGGATGCTATTAGATTCGCTACTCCAGTTGAATGGCACATAATTGGCATACCGAATATTTTTGTAGTACTTTACAAATAATCGGCACTCGCTGAAAAGACGCAAATCAACTACACATTCTAGCATCGAGTGAGCACTTTCTTTGTTTTAATAATTAGATTACCAAGATGCATGAAGCCTAGTCTTTTACAGGACTATCTGCACTGTACTAATCATCTTTTTACGATCTGGTGCTTCTATTTAACACACTGTTGTTGCCAAAGTGGAAGGATTTTCAATATTCCCACGAAGTTCATCATGTTGATTCACCAAAAATGGTTCAATATTTGTGCCTCAGTTTTATTTAAAGGGTTGTGAGAAGGTATCACCTTGAATGCTGAAGTAATTACTGTATTTCAACTTACTGTAGCAAAACATCTCGTAGGTGGTCACGGCTTATATGAGCTTACCTCAGTTTATATAACTGTGTTGTTTTACAGCGAAAGTTGTTATAAGATATAACTACTCGGGTCTCGCACAGCGCCGTAGTTGTCTGCTGCCGCCGGTGTCCGTAACCACATCGCGCAATATCCTCCTGACTTCCGGGTTGGATTTTGGTCCACGGAATTGCCTGAAACTTTCACAACTTGGTGTGTAGATGACGAAGATAAAAAGTGAAGCTTATTATTTCCGTTATGCCTGTGCTTTTGGTATGGCGTGATGTCCAACTAATTGGACGCTGAAACTTAATTAAAGCGTTAAGTAGTGGGCCTGAAGCAACACAAAGCAAGGTTACTGAAGAAAAGTGTGACAAATTCCGGAATAACTGCAAGTTGTTATTCAAAATTTAACAAATAATAAAAAACCAGCAGAAAAGTGGACCTTAACTTTCGCCGTTTAACTTCCAGAAGATTGCCCTGTTGAACGCCACCATGTTTTCTTCTTTGTTTCGCGATCTCCTGGCGCAATTTTGACAAAACTTCATGGAGGGCGCCAGTAGATGTCCAAAATATTGGACAAGTGGTTTTTGAGGAAGAAAACATGCTGAGATCTTTGTAGTGATGGGGTATTTCATGTCCAATATTTTGGACAAATCCCCATAGCTGGAACTCAGGAGGATATTAAAAAAAAAAAAAAACAGTACCAAAGGCACATTGGGGCTCGAACTCGAGTTCGCTGGGTGCCAGCCCAGTATTATACCACTGAGCCACACTGGTTTTTTTGCTTGGGACTTGTTGGCAAAAATTTGCCTTAGGCAGGCTTGATGTCGGGAAAGACATCGTGCTAATACGACTTCTAAAGCGTAAAAATAGCGAAAAAACAACCAGTCGCACAATGCGAATAGCGTAACGAGTGGGTCGTCCAATGCTCTAACCCATTGCAAAAGCTTGTTTTTGTTCAGATATTAACTGTAGTGCATACCCACTTCAGGCATCAATTCCTCATCGCCATCAGCCACTGCATGAGCAATCATCACAGAATTCCTGGCAATAGTTTAGCGGATACCACGCTTCTCAGAAGAACTACAAAAAATATCATAGCGAATACCGCCCTATTACCCTAAAATTTTTATTATTAATGCCATAGTGGGTACCCAGCAAGTGTGCTTGCAGCAGTTACCCAATGAGTGTTTAGAAAAGTCTCTGAAAGGCCACTATTCTAGCTTTCGCTGTGACTTGTGCTGCGCCTTCTGCGCAGGCCTGGCATTTTTTTCTCAGTTAAAGTTAATTGTAATGCTCTTTTGTTAATGTCTGTGACTATTTATTTCAATTAAAATGTTGCACAATTCTAGAAATGTGTAAAAAAGTTATTTCTATACTATTCAAAAACTATTCAGTTTGTATTCCAATTCATTGTCATTGCTATTTGATTTGGGTTTGATTCAGTTATCTTTATTATGCGTACACCCCTATTAATCACTTTGAGCCTAAAATTCGCACAAGCCTAGCACAGTCAGAAAAAAAAAAAAAGGAAATACAACGTAGCAGCTAGAACGTGTGCATTAATTAGTGCACGTGCTGTTCTAGAGTTTGCGATATTCTGATCTCTATTGGCATTAATCTTATTAGTTCAGTGCATTCTCTACTTCTCATTTCTTAAGCAATCCTGTATTTAATGTCTGTGCCTGAAGGCCTAATAACGTACTTGCTGTAGGGGCTTTCTTTTAAGATGCCTCATTGAGTGCTGTGTAAAAATGTAACTCTCTCCTATGTTTTAGATTTACTTGGACATATTGTTTAACCTTCAGGAAGCTCTGAATACTTCAAATGAAAACAGGTTTGCCCTCTAAAGCAGCAACTTGTTCAGTCTCTGCAGCACCGTACAGAGCGTTGAGGTTTATGTGCTGCTACTAAGAATGTTTGCAGCTATCACTATTGTGTGCTAATTCAAATGGGATACTGCAGTGTGCCAAATCTGCGCTAGTGGTCTGCTTAACTCGGTGCTCTTATGTAATTCCTTGTGGTTGCAGCCCAAGTTTCATGGCTAGGCAGGGAACAGTTATCACAAGTCACCAGTAATGTAAGGGTGTGGCCATCATAGTTATGAACATTAGCATGACCTTATAGGGGTATTACAAGCCTTGATTGCACTAACTAGAAAGTAGAATCTAATATGAGGCACCTATCAACAGCTTTACTGGTGCATGGCTTGATCTTCTTTTCAGTGCACCTTGCAGTCACACAATGTCGCCCCCTGCATGGCCAGTGCAGGTGTGAATCATGGTCGTATTTTCCCACTCACGAATGTTCGTGTCGCCATAGCCTCCTGTATATTTACGCAACCTGCCTCGTTGCTCCAAGGTGCATGGGAGTCGGTGGCGCCGGTGCAGTGATGCCCCTCAAGCAGCTGCAGCATGGACACCTTAGGCTTTATGCTGCCACCAAATGGTTGCTTTTGCATGCAACTCTATGAGCACTGGCGACATGTGCTGAAGGTCACATTGGCCTAAAGGAGTACTGGCACGCACCCCAAACAGGACATCCACGGTGTGCCCTGTCAACGCTTTTAAAGTTTTCATCACCCGCTGCAGTGGACAACACAGTTCACTGGATTTGCGAGATTTGCATGCAGCTTAATTTATTGCACAGTCTCTGGACAACAATTCACTCATCATTTATGTGAACCACTTGCGAACTCGCAGCTGCTGCTAATGACATGAGAGCTGTATTGACATGTCACGGCAAAGCCACCTTCGCAATACCAAAATTGTCGGTTTAAAGGGAGGGGTATTAAAAGTATATTCAGTGCATTCTAAAGCACTATGACACCTTTTTTAAGGTTCTTGACATAGGTGTCTTTATTTGGAGCAACAACCCGAAAATATTTAACATTAGTGTCAGTGCTCCTTAGGCCTGAGGCTTCATTCACACCGGTGACTGATAGAAGCTCCTGGCTGGCGACTAGGCAGCTAGTCATAGCGTCACATGGGTAAATTGCCAATTGCCTTTTGTCACACAAACAGTCACTAATGTTTCCCTCTGTTTCACTTCTCTGGACACATAAAATAACATTAAAGGTATTCCAACTTCGTGCTGTTGTATCATTTATGTTGTTAAGCAGCTTTGCAGCTCTATTTGTGTAGCTAGTGAATTGGTCAGTGAGTGAGTTCATCAAATTTATGACCAAAGTGACATTTGAGACTCGTCGGTCGCGCAAGCCCTGTCGGTCACTGGTGTGGACACGCCCCAGCTATGGTCACTGTGTCAGAGACAAGCATGTTGAGAGTGCCCCTCCATCCTGCTCCTTAGTTTCGGCACCACTGGGTAGGCATAGTAAAGATACAGGAGGGTCGTTTTGTAGGCTAGGAGCCACAGTGAGTGTGAGAAATATGGGCCCAACCTTTCTCATTGGGCAGCCTGCAGATGCACTTCACTGTGGCTGTGGATTTCACTGCATCGAATGGGGACCCCCGAGATCCTGCTTCTCTGCACTTCTTGGACCCAGTCACAGCCAAATGCATATATGATGGCCATACAGGCAGTTGGTGAAGTGATTCAGGATTATGACTATGACAAGATGTTCCCTGCACTGGGCTTTGGTGCAAGGCTGCCACCTGACGGAACTGTGTCGCACGAGTTCTTCCTCAATGGTCACCCGACAGACCCGTACTGTGTGGGCATCGAGGGTGTCCTGGAGGCCTACCGGAGGACCCTGCGGTCTGTGCAGCTGTACGGGCCCACGAACTTTGCACCGGTCATCAACCATGTGGCAAAGTGAGGCCCTGCTATGCAGCAACTTTGGTTGTATTGCTGTTGCACACACATGAACATTGCATATTGCCCGCTTGCAGCCATGTCATTTGTGTGGTAGTCTCCTTGTAAAAAGCAGAAAGCAAGCTTGTTGTCACATTCCACGCGAGGTGAATGAAAAAAGGGAATTTTGATGGCTTGTTTCTTTGTTTGACACAACTTTAAATGAAAACCAGCATATATTGGAGCCAAGGAAGGGATGGGGGCATTAATTGAGCTGTTTTAAGTGTCATCTCATTCTCTCTATGGACAGGATGACGACTGCTGCATTTATGAATGCCGACGGTATGGACACCCACTTTATGAATTTTAAAGAGATACTGAACGAAAATTGGAAAAACTAATGAAACTTGTAAATTTTACTCTAAATGTATGACTGTTCCAATAAACAGAGTTAATTTCGGGTATTTTTTAGCATTTGGCTGTATTTTTGATGGATTGTCGGCGAACAGCGACTGAGTGCAAACGCGAGCTGTGACGTCACAATCGCTGAGGCGCATGCAAGACGCCATATTCCTGTCCTCTTCCTTTTCTCTGCCTCTCCTTTCATCCCACTCTCCCTCTTCCACAAATGGATTGATGCTGTACCCCAGGCGCCAGTAGCATTGTTCGCTACCGGTGCTGTTCATACTGATTATGGGAACCGAAGGGGGAGATGAGCGTGTCGAGGTCGTGTCGACGGATGAGCGTGTAGATGGCTGGCATTTTTGGTCTGCTCACTTCAAAAGCTAGACGCGGCAGTTCGTGAAAAACATATTAAATTCATTTTTTTCCCTGTAGTTTCTGCCTAAAATGAACGTTGCCTGTTTTGATTTCAGGACCCTAATCTTTCGATTTGGTTAAAAATCTTGGTGGCAGAAATTTTGTTCAGTATTTCTTCAAGGTGTAGGAGAGGACTAACTGCCGCCACATTGGTAGAATTGGACATATCGTCCATGGGCTGCATGTTCGGTTCCTGCTGGTTTCTTTTGAGAGAACCCTGTGCACGTCTGTATGTGTAATGTTTTTTTTTTTTTAGCATAAACGAAGTACTTCAAGTTCAGTAGTTGACTTCGCTATAACGTCACTAATTTATTGTGCTAAAAATTCACATCTTATGTTTCCTTCACGTAAGCAAAAAGCCATTGAAGATGAACTCGTAATGAGCAGCATTCATGCGTATTGTTGACAGCCAAGCATTGCGTATTTGTCACTACTGAGCAGGTTTGCGAGGACGTACCGTGACGGAACAAGTTACTTCGTGCTGCTCATCATCACGGACGGGGTCATCAGCGACATGCCACAGACTCTTGAGGCCATTGTGCAGGCCTCCACCCTGCCAATGTCCATCATCATTGTGGGTGTAGGCAATGCAGACTTCTCAGGTGAGCCTATAGCTACATGCACACATTCTGTAGTGCACTTTCGTGCAAAGTTTGTCATAGGTAAATGCAGCAGGTTATAACAGTGATCTTGCTTATGGCCATACTTTTATTTTATATCTCTGTCAAAGATAGTGGTTGCAGCGAAAGTTCGAACCAATGCTCATCAATCACGTGACCTTTGAAATTTCCCATAAGCCCCACATATTGAAATCCAATCGTGCCAGTGGCCGAAATAGTGGAGGTGTCCTGAGTGTGCCACCACCTGTGTGCAAAAGGCAAATTAATAAATGGCATTCATGGTGCATTTTTCATTGCAAAAAATTGCATACTTCACGTTTCAAGCAGTATTTTAATCTTTGTAGTTTGCTTTCGGCAAATGACATCGTGGCCACAGAACTTCTCCACTTTTCTTGAAGTATATAGGCTAAATCCTGCTGCGGTTACCTGTCAAATGACAGTTCATTGTTATCGCTTCAAGGTGGCATGCAGGTTTGCTATCCTCCTCAATTATGTTCTTGGGCGTGTCTAAGCTTTAAAATAGAGCTTTGCTACTGGTATGATTGAAGAGCTCTAGTTCAAACCATGTTTGCATGCTCTGCAGACACTCTAGTGAATCAATACTCATTTCACAGTAAAAAACAGAAAGTAACAGTTTTCGCCACAAGGGCTAAGCAATAAATTGGAATGTCACCCGAAGAGCGACTAGCAACTTCATACTTGCAGTACACCACTCAGGCACAAGAAAGGGCGCTCAAAAAGATTGCATAGATATATATACACAGGAAAAGCCTGAACTAGCAACTGTCCAGTTTTTACATCTTTGTGTTTGAGCAACATGTTGCATGTGTCGACAATGAAGAACCCGATGCACTTATATATTTCTTTTTCTTTTAAACTTTGGCACGTCGCACCTTTGGCCTTTGTCGCACCGTACATGCGAGCTCATTACACCAGCGCTCATGCATGTGGCGTGGTTGAGTTGTCGATCGAGGAGGGGTTGCTAGATTTAATCCCCGGTTGGCAGCTTGTGAATTTTTTTCTTATTTGTATTTGTGCCTTTTATGTATGTCTATATATTCTGAACATGTGGGTGACAATGAAAATTCACTGTCCATATAAGTGCCAGACTTCACAGTCGCCTGTGTGGTATCATTGCAGCCATGGAGGTACTGGACGGGGACGTGGTGCGAGTTAGCTCGCGGGGTCGTGCGGCCGAGCGGGACATTGTGCAGTTTGTGCCCTTCCGCAAGTTCCTCCTGGGCGGGCCCTGGCAGAGTAACCAGATGCGGCTCGCTAAGGAGGTGCTGGCCGAGATCCCCGACCAGGTCACCAGCTACATGCTCAAGAACCACGTCAAGCCCGGGCTGGGCTCCCAAGGTGGCACGTCCTGAGTGCCAAAAGCTGCACACGGTAGACAAGTAGCCAGCACAGTCTTTCACGTAGAAGCTGTCAAAATGCTAGAGCAGAGGCCCCCTCCCGTTCACTAGGCTGGCTGCTCTGGGTCACGGGACTGGTCTCGTTGCGACTGCACACACAATACACATTGCTGTCGCTTGTGTGGAGGCACAGGTACGCAATGCTCTCCTGCAAGGCCATCTGGACCACTGCCAGACAAGCAGAAGCTTTTGCAGGCACTTGTGGTTGCCCACGCTGCTATGTATTGGGGAGGGATAATGCGTGAGAAAACAAGGCTGTCGACTCAGTGCTCCATGCATTAACCTTGCTCGTGAGGGGAAACCTGCATGCAAGACCTGAAATTCTACTGCAGTCGCATAAAGTGCATATGCAAGCATTACGACAAATTCATCGTTTTCGATAACAAGAACGCGTCTCTGCCCTTTGGCAGCAGTCCAAAAGTCTTGGAAGGGTGTGCAGCTTTGGCCAGTGTTTCCATGACTTGGCCGTCATCAAAGCTCAATCTCGCATTTTTGTGCCTTTGCCTTCAGTCACAAGCAACTAGCGACAAGCTGTGTTGACTATGCTCAGTGGGTTAGACAAAGGGAATAGAGGCGTGCCACTCCTGTAGACAGCAGGCTGTACATGTGCAGTCTACCCCAGTGACAGAGAGATCCATTAGACTAGGAGGCAGAAACAGGTTCTACATCGTGCCAACATTAGAATCATCAGATATGTAAAATCATGGTAGAGACTACGTTCTCACTGTATATATGGTTTATGCGTATCATTGGATCATTAGTCACAGTTTAGCACAGCCCCTCCAGACAGATGAGCAGAATCCGTTATACGATGAAAACGTGACTGATTTTCAGGGGCATTTTCCCTTGGCCGTTCACTGCGTGTCGTTCTCTTGTGTGTTCCATTCTATCATAGGATACATTCAAGATTGTTCACAGAATATACACCCGAAGGAAAGCTTATCTGTTGTCTAAAACGTGGCACCCCTACTTCTTCATGGCAGTTGCCCTGCAAGCTGAGCTGACCACGGCAGTAAATGGGAGATGGTTGGTCATTGAGACAACCTTTTGAACATGTTCAGTGAATGCTGAATTTAGAACTAAGTTTCAAAGTTGGCTAGAATTTGCTTGCTCTTCCCTCGACAAATTATGTCGTAAGCTCAATTTTCACTGCTTCACAAGCACACAGACATTCGTTGATATGAGCATTGTCAGCTGCATAGTTGCCACAGGGTGCCTGTGGCGTGCTTTGTAGTGCTAGGATTGCACACAATATAGCATCAAACCAGTGCTCTTTGATCTTACTGAAAGTGAGCCACATGTTGAAAGAAAAAGAACAAAAAAAGAATGCTCAAATTCATGATGTGCACGGGCATTCAGACAGCCTCTTGCTGTTATGACATCTTCCCTGGTACAGTTTTCAGTGAATTTGCTGGGACACGGAGTGCTTAAAGGTATGTGGCCAGTCTCAGTAATGCCGCCCGTATTTATGGATTCTAAAAATTTTCATGAAGGTAATAAACTCGGATACTGAGGTCATTCAATGATTTCTTGGAAAAGTATTACTGGGCCCCTTTAAAGAGACACTGAACAGAAAACTGGGAAAACTGACAAGAGAATGGAAATTCTACTCGGAAGACCCAACTGTTCCGATAAACAGAGTATTATTTCACATGCTATTTTGAACAGTTGGCGACAGCTGCACGGAAGCATGAGCCACAATGTTGCATTCACTGAGACATCCTTTCTTTCATTCCACTCTCCACAATCGTGCTGATGCTTCAGCCCAGCCGGGAGCATTGTTTGCTGCCGGTGCCGTTTGTGGTGGGAGCCGAGCGACGTCGGTTTCCATGTTTACTAGTGAATGTAATGTCGCTAAACATTGCCATCTCTAGTTCACAGCATGGCCACCAGATGCGGCAGTTCGTAAAAAATGTATTAAACTCATTGTTTCACTCTTGTTTTTGTCTATCAGTTTCAGCACCCACTCTTTCAGTTGAAAATTCTGGTGGCAAAAATTTGTTCAGTATCCCTTTAAAGGGTTGCGAACCATTGTTTTTCAAAGTTTGACAGAATTCACAGAAATTCATAACTGGCAAGGTTTCTGGAACGGGCACACTATTTGCGTTCTACACCTGCCCCTCAATGTCAACCACTATTCTAAAGGAGCGGTGTGGTGTCTCACCTATGCATTGTGCCTAACAAGTTGTCAGCAGATGGCTGTGCGTTTTCAGTGTGCAGTTCTTATAAAAATGTGCATTTTCAACTAGCGGTACAGCCATTCAACTGTGATGGCTATTGTACACAATGTGAGGATGTACAAAAATCCAGACGTCCTGCCCGCTTCATGTTAACTATTGGCCAGTGGTAGCTTTCTGCAGGCGTATACATATTGTTGTAGGGAGATCGGCCAACTTGGTGATTCGCTTCTGAACCTATTATGTTAAAAAATTCTGCAGCTTAGAAGCTTCATGATCTCTGTTCAGAGCAAGTTTTCTCATTAAGCTCATTTAGTGAAGCTATAATGTAATGTAACTGGATCTCTCCAGCAGCTCGATGAAGGTCTATCTCCAAAGTGGTGTTTGTGATGCAACCCACCTTATTGGTAAGCTAATGCAGGCACTGTTTGCACCCAAATTCTTCAATCGTACAAGTTGTGAGAAATGAATCTGGGGCATGCCCATGGACGAATTTGCAGTGAACAGCTAACAGATGCGCCAACTGGAGGGAACGATAGAAAACACAATGCATCACAAGGATTGCGGCCTGTCACTGCAAGTTGCCCCAGTTAGGATTGGGAGAAGTGTTCTTTCAAAAAAGCAAATGAGTTCTGTGACCACAGTGTCATTTTCAAAGTGCAAGCTGAAAGCACTCTGCTTGCTTCACCAATGTGGCATAGTTTGGGGTCTTTGAACACAGTTGGCACCACAATCGGCAGACCTCTTCAATTTTGCCCCCAACTGAGGCGCAATACCTTCTACATTGTGGACTATCCACTTGAGCCTCTACTGATTTGCTAGAGCTCGGCTAGCAGTGCACCCGTTTCTGGTCATTTTAACGGTGTCGACACAAATGAGAGGGGCGGAATGCGTTTCACCACAATGAATGCCGGCCCCGCCTGATGCACATGGAAGGTCAATACGAATTCACTCCATTGTTCTTAAACATTAGAACATGTTCATACGCAAGTTCAGGCTTGTCAAGTTTGCTGTTACTGTACATTTTGTTCACTTTCCCTTTATGCGGGGGATGAGCTGGCAGGTTCGGTGTGTCGACGTGGTCGCGAGAGCCTTGACGTCACGGCTCACCACTTTGAGTAGCGGAATGCACTCTGCTGAAGTGGATACATCGAGAGTACGTAGCTCCCCTGGATTTTAATACATAGAACTTGTGGGTAGTTGTGCAACTAGTACGATTGAAAACGTTTGGTTTGCACAAGCTGGGTGTGTGCCAAGCCTCTTTAGTTTGGCTTGTTAAGTGTACATCCGTAACCATAGTCGCAGCCACTGCACTGGGGCAGACACAGGTCTTTTCGTTCATATGCAAAGGCTAGCTCTCTCCTCCCCGCCTGGCAAAGCCATCACGTGTGATATTTTTGTGTCGGCTGCATGCAGTGGGGCACTTACAAACAACGAACAAAACTCCCACATGGAAGCTCTTTGCTCAGAAGCCGCCCTGTGCGGTTGTTGCCGGAAGGAATGCCCTCGATTTGACCTGCCTGTGGTGGGTCTGTGTTGTTGTTGTTGGCCTTGTGTTCCTCCATGCTGTTTTAACGTATGGGGCTTTATACTGACTATGTTGAAAGCTTCGCTGTTATTTTTCTATTGTGCGGCTGAATCCACCAAGGGCACTGAATGGGAAATAAAAACTCAAATGTTTTTGTTGTTTGGCAAAACTTGTCTTGTTTATTTGTCACTACTGGTGTGTGGAGTGGCATGTGTTGTTTTTAAAACAACACATGCCCTCGCAGTAGAGCTACGGGCTGCTGCAGTGAAGCTGGGTGAAGATACCTTGCCATTGTACCACGGCAAAAACACAGGGATGTTAAGTGCATAGAAACACGATACTGCCATCATACAAGACTGTGTGAGACTGTTATTGCTATAAAGCACTTTGATGCAACAGTGGTTATGTTGCTTGAATGCTGACCTGCAATGTAATGGCCACATCTTTTGGCGAAACCGAAAATGATTGTACTTGAATTTAGGAGCACGTTAAAGAATTCTCAGGTGGTCAAAATTTCCAGAGCACTCTATTACGGTATCACAGCATCAAGTATAGAGGCTGCTTCAAGTTTGCAGTTTTTTCATTTTTTTAGCAACCTCTACTGCACCCCTTTCAATCCAAATTACCTCTGTTGTAAAGCTAGATTTTCAATTTTTTTTTTTCATGGTTGCAACCAGACATCACAGTGCTGTTCTTGGACAGTCTGCGAGGTGTAAACACCGAACACAAGAGAACACAAAACAGACCATCTCTCTCATGTTGTGATAATGTACAATACACTGTTGCTAAGCCAACAAGCAACTTCGTTGATCATTCTGAAACCAACAACACTTTCATCAGATCACTGTGCAATCACTGCACAATCCGTACGATTTAATGCTGTTTCATTCCACTTATAAATGGAGTTGGCATTATGTCTTAATAGATGTGTAGTGCTTTTCTTGCCTGCTTTCTTCCTTATACTCAATCGGAGGCATGAATTTTATTTTAAAAATTTTCATCCGTTATTACTTCTTCATTTAGTATAGACATAGGTTACGGTATAAACATATAGGCAAACTAGAAAGCTTGTGGCACATGCAGCTGGTCTGTCTCAAAGATGATCTCGTGTCATTAATATTAATAGCCTGTTTGCGACATGTACACACATGATGGCTTGGGTGTCATCAAGAGATGCACGACAAGTGACCTGTTTTATAACGACATTACTGGTACGATATTTGGCCTCTGAGCATGAATAATGCAAAAATAGCATGTGATTTGCTGACAGCACTAACGTGACATCACAAAGTGTGCATTTCGCTATGTTGGTGCTCCGACATGACTGCTTCCGCAACGTCAAAGCGAGCCATCTACAATCATTGTGCTTATAACTTCCAAGTGGTGAAGGATCACAACAACCAGGTTTTCTTAACAAGCCAGCCTCAGATGACAAGTGAACTGCAGTGCTCATGTCGCTGCTGACAGAGAAACAATGAAAAGGCAGCCTGTGCGTTTTGTGTTGCCGTTTGTTTCTTGTCTTATGTGTCCAGGTTAAACAGCTGAGTTCATAAATAACTTTTGCAAGTTCTGTCATCTCAAGGAGGAACCCTGTGAATTAAATGAATCATGGAGGGTGGTTGCATGCACCGTGCTTTCACCAAAAGCCCGGTACTGTTCAGAAAACCAGTGTGTTTTATCGCTGTGTCTAAAGGTATGTGGGATGTACTGGAATACTAAAAGCTGAAGGTACATCAGACATATGTAAAACCGGGAGTCTAAAGATACGTCGGGTGTACGCGAATCCTAAAAGCTGAAAGTACTGTACACCAGACGCACCCGGAACCGCGAGCCTAAAGATACATTGGTCGTCGTGATGTAGTGGGACGCATCAGTCATAGGGTGGGTCGAGGCTACCACGTACCAGCTTGCAAATAATCGACAAGGAACAAGCCGGGTGAGCACTGCCGATAACATAATAAACGGCATCGCGGTCGGCAGTGCCAGTGGTAGACTTCTGTTAGTTGCCGGTGTGAATGCTTTCTTAAAGGACTACTGACAGGAAACTGATAGCGTGATAACTTGTCTATTGGTCTAGGCCTTAACATCACTGATGTTAAATAGCATGTCATGTCATCTCCCCACCGCACGCAAAACGTGTCTTCAGTTTTCATGCAAACGACGAACCGCCATCTGCATCACAAGTTTGTGCTAGTCGCCACGATCCCCTTTTGAACAGAAAGAAGGGGCAAACTCTCATGGAAGTTTGCCTCGGCAGTGCTTTTTTTTTTGGGGGGGGGGGGGGTCACGCCTAGTTGCATTTCTGATAGGGAATCATAGCAGCATCTAGGGCCTTTGCTGCAAAAAAGTGTCTGTGCAGTGCTCATGTGAATGTGGTTTCCTATGTCCATGTAGCCAGTTGAGTTTGCATGGAAACCATTCTGGGTATAAAGTTGTTTCTGCTAGATTCTTGGTGCCGCTTCACTCGATACTCTTTGAAACCGCAACCGCCTAACAAAACCAAACCAGCGCGCGTGAGTCCGCTTTTTCTTGTTTTTTAAATCAAGTGCTATAACCAAGCTTGAGTAGGCGAGAAAGTAGCAACGTCCGACGTATCCCCCTGATCTGCGCTTCCGGGGGTGCACGAGGTCAACCGTGCGGAACAAACGCCGGACCGGCGGGTCGAATTCGGAGTCACTAGAGTGCAAGTTCGCGAAAAAGCGCGACGTCCGACGTAGCTTTAGGCTGCCGGTTTCGGTTACGCCCGACGCACGTACCTATAGACACAGCGGTATTTTATGTACACTTAGTAGTCGCATGGCAGGCGCTCATGTATCCTTGGGCCCGGCCTGACCAAAGAAGTCATGGTCCACGACATGGTGCACACACTGCAATATCACGTTGCGTTCGCGTCGCATTTCTGAAGCCAGCAGTCGCTGCAAGAGCGTCAGCTTTCGCCGGTGAGGCCAACCTGCGCTACCCGCAGCCAGCGACGTCGCCTTGGGTCGCACTGCTGGCTTCAGCTTGGCTGGTAAGGCTTTGCTCGGAGCAGGTGGCGGCGCCTCTTCTGACGGTTCCTGCTTATTTGTTTGAACTTGTCTGTTTGAATCCTCGACCGCTGTTTCGTCATCGTCGCTTCCGTAGCACGCCATGAGAGAAGCCAGGACGCCGCTGACCGAGGACTCTGGGGGCTTCGCACCATTCGCGTTGGGCTGCTCGCCGTCAGAATCGGTAATCTGTTGGTCCGGCTCGTCTTCACATGGCGCGGGCTTTTCTTCCTCGATAGGCGAATGGTTCCGGCTGAGCTGCACGTTGTGGTTGCCAAGGAGGCTGATGAACGCGATTGACCGGCGACGCACGCCGGTGTGCGCGCTGCCGACGCTTGTTGTGACGCTTGCGACGGCGGCCGCCGCGCACATCTTCGTTGATGACTTCACGACGCGCCTGGCGCTCCACCTCAGCCGCCTTCTTGGCCTCGATGTTCTGCAGGGTCGGATAGCGTAGCCTGCGTTGGCGACGCCACTCTTCCACATCTTCGTCGGCGCCGACAGCTGCGGTGCGTCGAATGAATGGGCTATTGTGCTGCAACTTCTGGTGCAGCGCTACGACCGCTGGGCTGGCCTCGAAGCCGCAGTCGTCTCTCGGACACACAACGTGCTCCGCACGGTGGGCGGACTAGATCAGCCTGGCTCGCAAACCCTTGGTCACAGCTGTCGCAGCCGAAGTCCCACGCCGGTAAGCGACGCTTGGGTACACGTTGACCACTCGCGCCAGGGCCACGCTGTTGCTCAGATGTTTCTCTCGCGAAGCCGTCGTCGCGGATAACGCAAGGGCCCGGCGGTGCATCTTTCCCCGAAGCGGATGACGGACGGAATGGGTTGTCCAGCACGAATTTCTCAACCGCAGCCATTGCAGGATGAACGACCTAACTTGAACCAAAACACGTGCACGCATAACGCACGTGCCGCCGCAGGTTTCTAAAGTTCCAATAATCGCTACAGGGGGCGAAAAAATCAATAGCGGCGCGTCCCGCCCGGAAGCAAGTCAGTAGATCTACGCAACGCCTCCTCTAGGAAGATGCCTGCCGCATCAGAAAAAAAAAAAACAGCTGCCACATTGTTTCTCTCTTTCATTTAAAAATGGTCTTGGTCGCTAGCGTCACCTGTCGCGGACTGGTGCATCAACGCAAGACTTTGCATAGCCTCTGAAACAGTAGTGCACAGTTGCAGGTCTCGAACAACTCTCGATTGACGCGCCCCTATGGACCGCAGATGAAAAACGCTAAGCTGGAAGCTGGAACCGCCCGCTGCCGTGATAATGATGATGATGATGATGATTAAAGGCCTCCTCTTTGAATCGGGGTGACGGCATGCGCCATCTAGCCTACCTTAATAGTTCGAGTTTAAATTCTGTCCCTCAACTCGGATGTCTTTTTTAATTTTGCCCAGCCGCTACTCTTGGCTGGGATGTTATTTTATCGACTTCTCTGCTTTTCCTCCACCAATACTCCAGCCGCTGCTTAGTAATACCTACTGCTGACCAGTTAATGCTTCCATCAACCGCGAAGCCCAGCGCCTCAGGAAGTGTGACCTTCCCCCCATTTCTATCCGGCTGAATCTTTTGACATTCCATGACTATGTGGTCGATTGTTTCTTTATTTATGCCACATCCAACACATGTCTCATCCTGTGACGAATATTTGCTCCTGTAAGTTAGAGTTCTCAAGCAGCCAGCCCGCGCCTCAAAGAGCAACGCACTACCTTTATTGTTGTCATAAAAGTTCTCTTTCCGGATCTCTTGTTTGCTTGCCTTGTAGATTCCCAGCGATCCCTTCTTTTCCATCCTCTCTTTCCACATGAGCGTCTCTGTTTCCCTCACTTGCTTTTTAACTGGCCCCCTTTGCTTATTTGCCGCGGTCAAGTTATATTTAGTCGCCAGCTTTCGCGTCTTCTTCCGCCATTTGGTGTCCACACTTTTCAGGTACAGGTATCTGTGCACTCTGGCTGCCCAGTTCTTCTCATCTAAATGTCTAAGTCGCTCCTCAAACCGTATTTTACTTTGTGCTTCCCTCGCCTCAAATGAAGCCCAACCCATATCGCCTTGTACAGCCTCGTTTGTAGTCTTACTGTGAGCTCCCAGAGCTAACCTGCCGACTGCCTTTTGGTTAACCTCCAGCCCCGACAGGATATCTGACTTTAAGCATAATACGGCATTAGAGAACGTGAGCGCCGGCACCATTACCCCTTTCCAGATGCCTCGTACTACCTCGTACTTATTGTGTCCCCAAAGTGCTCTATGTTTCATTACTGCTGCATTTCGTCTCCCTTTCAGTTTGAGGTGTTCTTCATGAGCATTCAGGTAGCCTTTTCTTTCATTAAGCCAGATCCCCAAGTATTTGTACTTATTTACTAATGGTATGGCTTCCTGTTGTATCCTTATTGGTGCTACATGAGCTTCCTCGTTGAACACCATGACTCCAGATTTCTGTGGGTTAAAATGTAGGCCTAGGTACGTTGCCTCATCACCACAAATGTCAGTCAGTTTTTGAAGTTCTTCCGCATTATCCGCCAGCAGCACTATATCGTCTGCGTACATCAATCCCGGAATCCGTTGCTCCACTAACACTCCATTGCTTCGGTGTGACAAATCAAAGCCCAATCCACTCTCCTCTAGTCGTCTTTCCATTCCTCTAATGTACAGTGTGAACAGCAATGGCGAAAGAGGGCACCCCTGTTTTAAACCTCTTCGAATGTACACGGGCTCTGTGTATGTACGCCCTTCCCATGTAATGTGTGCCTTGTTACCCTCATATATTGCCCTTAGCAGCCCTACAAATTCCGACCCAATTCCCTCCTCTTCCAGTATATGCCACAGCAATCCCCTGTCCACGTTGTCATAGGCACCCTTTATGTCCAGAAACAGTAGCCATGTTGGTCTGCCCTGTGCTGCCGAAATTTCGATGGTCTGGGTTATGACGAAAAGATTGTCTTCCAAGCGTCGACCCGGCCTAAATCCATTTTGCAGTTCCCCTAAAATACCGTTACTTTCAACCCACTTCAACAACTCGGCTTTGATGGCTTGTATAGCTAATCTATAGAGCACTGACGTGACTGTAATCGGCCTGTAAGAGCTCGCCTTGTCCCTTTCTCCCTTGCCTTTGTAGATCAAGCTCATTCTACTTTCGCACCAGTGCGCAGGAATCCTCTTGGATTTTATAGCGCGCTCGATGGCTCCATACAAGTGCGCCTGTCCCGCTGGTCCCAAATGGTTGATAATCTCTATCGGGATTCCATCCGGTCCTGTTGCCGTACTTTTGGGAACACTGTGTTCTGCCTTTTTCCAGTCCAAAAATTCGATATTAAATTTTTCATCTGCCACTCTTTTATTTTCCACCTGTGTCCAGTTAGCCGACCTCTCGCGTGCTTGGCCGAAAGTATTTCCTATGACTCCATGTAGGTATTCTAATGCGCTGTCCCCCAGGAGAACGTTGCCGTCCCCGTCCTGTATCTGAGTCTGCATCTCTTTAGTCGTCGTTCCCAATGCTTTTAAATGGTTCCAGAGTTTTCGGGGGGCGCTCTTATCCTTCTTACGTATGTCTGATACCCATTTCTCACTCGCAGCTTTAATCTTCGCTTGTACTAGTTTCTGCACCTCAAATTTCTTTTCTCGGTACCGGCTCCACCGTAACTGCACCTCATCATCCTGATATCCCATTTGCTTTGCTTTTCTGCGCAGTCTAGAGGCCCGTCGTCGCTCTTCAATAGCCAGTTTAATTTCCTTGTCCCACCAGCTTCGTGGTTTCCGTTTACCCCTCCAGCGGTTTTTTTTTCCTTACTTTGTTTATTTCCTTTTGTATACAACTAACAACCTCGTCATATTCCCACACCTTTGTTGGCTGTGCTTCTAATTCTCTTTCGATGCTATTGACGATGTCTGCTATCTGCTTTTCGCTTACTTTCGGAAGCCCAACCTCCTGTGTTTTCTTCCTAGCCCCCCCCCCCCCCCCCCCCCACTGTCAAATTTCAGGATTATACGCCTGTGGTCGCTGCCCAGACTATTTTCTCCTTCTTCATCTATCGTCATTTGGTTCAACCGCTCGTACGTGTGTTCTGAGACCAGGCCGTAGTCTATGCAAGACTGTCTACTGCCGCTTTGCCACGTTATCTGCCCGTCGCATTTATGTTCCCGGTTAACTATTACCTGTTGCTGTTCTTCACACATATCGATAACCATTTCACCGTTATAGTCTGTACATCCATCCAGATCCTCAATGTGGGCATTTAAATCTCCTACTAATATCACCTCGCCAGATTCTTTAAATTTTTTTATGTCCTTCCTGAGGCAGTCCACCCACTCTTTATTTTGTTCTCTGGCCGTGTTCTCTGGCGTCATTCCCTGTCCTCAGATAGGCCACTCCCAACCGTGTCTTTTTTCCCCCCATTGTTCCACTAACCCATAAGTGCTCCTTACAGCCCTGATTTTCCCTCTGCCAATTCCCTCCTCGCCTAATCAACATGCCCACGCCTCCACCCATAATAGTCTCGGTCGCGAGCGCCACCGCGCGGCGCTTGCTCAAAACTGAAGGCAGGCCAACTCCGCTGGGAGCGCGAGCCATTCCCCAGGCATTGTATAGAGGGGGCGTTGATCTACGCTTATTTCTTCCTCTTGCGCTTCATCCATGCCTATATTTATTCAGTGCCAGACATAGACGTAAGAGTTCTATTGTTACATCATAGCCTCCTAGATTTCCCTTTCGGGGCGCCACTTGATCCTACTACCAACGCCTCCTAGTTTTTTGTGCCTGCCGAATGAGCGCGAAACGCCGGTCATCTATGGCGGCGCTGCCTACGTATGAACACTGTCGAAATTTGGGCTTGTTGGTGCATTGTGACGACGCTCTGTGCTTAGCGCCTGTGCCGTGTGTCCTCGTCTTGTGTCCCCGTTTCTTTGCGCTATTTTCTGTCGTGCCTACGTATGAGTAAGTGTCTTTGTACTCGGCCTTTGAGATTGGCAGTTTTAGCGTTTGCCACTAAATTCAAAGGATGCCTTGTATTTAAAAAGTTGCTTGTTGAATGACAGCGTCACTTAAATAGGGTTAATTATAATTGCGTTTACGCCTTTATTCGTACTTTGCAGTGAAGGGTTTAATTTTCACTTGTGCCTTGACTTTAAGCACCAATCAGATAACCTCCTTCTAGTAAATTCTATCCGCTTAAAGTATATATTTTGCCCTCCCTGTCCCTAAACCCCAGCGCTTTGAAAAACTCTGCGCCATCATCCTGAACTATAAGGGGAAGCCCATTACAGAACATTATCACGAGTTCGGCAATTTCCTTCTCCTCTCCACACGCACTGCATACCGTGTCTACGGTCTACCCCTTCGTATTTGGCCCGGTATGTCTTGGTTCGCAATACTCCTGTCCTGGCCTCAAACAGTAGAGAACTACCCCGAGTATTATCATAGACCCTTTTCTTGGCAATTTCCTGCTTAAAAGTTCGATAGATCTCTAGTGCGGACTTCTTAATCATGCCAATTCTCCACATGTTAGTCTCCGTTTCCTTCACTTTTTTCTTAACCGCTAGTTCTTTTTGGTTTGGCCCCCTGCTGTTTTCGAAGTATTTACCAGTCAATTTACTGGTTTGCTTCATCCATTTTGTATCGACATTCTTCATGTACAAGTAGCTGAATACCTTCCTAGCCCAACGCTCCTCCCCCGTTTCTCTCAATCGCTTCTCAAATTTTATCTTGCTGCTAGCTTCCCTGCCCTCAAATGATGTCCATCCCATATTACCTTGTATTATTCTACTATTCGACTGCAGCGCCGCCGCTGCGGGCAACATGGAGGGATTAGGCAGCGAGGCGCGGTCACGCCACTCAACACTTTTAGTACACAGGTAGAAGAGGGTACCAGTACCACAGAATACCTACCATAGAGGGCATGCCCAGCCGACGCAGGGTGTAAAAAATTGTGGCGGAAATTACGTCACAGCGGCCATATTCACTGGGCACAATGGCGGCGTTTTGTTATTATT